CCATAAGGGCGGGCGGGCGGGCAACGACGAAGGCGATGACAAAATGCACCACGGGCGCTGCGAGCAGCACCTGGCCCACCTTGTGGACCACTGGGAGCCTGCAAAGAGCCCCCGGTGGAGCGAGTGCACCCCGCAGGGAGCTTGCTCCGCGGCGGCCGTGGTGCCGGGAACTTGCCATCCCGCCCCACCGCCCGATCGGCCTCCGGAGTTGTCGAAGACCACCGCTGCTCCGAGTTGGAGCCAACCAGGCCTTGGAAGAAATCCGCCGCTCCGTCGGGGGCCCAAGCCGCGACTGCCCACGAGTTTACGTGCACGGTTAAAGCCATCCACTGATGAATCTACCAACCGTTCTACGTCAGGCGGGGCTTTAGATTTTCCTCCCCATCGAAACCTTTGGTTTAGGGGGTATGAAAATCTACTTGCCCGCCTTCTGGTGGAGCGGGCGCGCCTGCAGTGGGCCGGGAATCAGAACGCTGCCGGCGCGACAGGCGAGTAAGAGCCCCGAGAGAAGCGCCCCAATGGTGAGGGCTCGACTCGCCCTGTCCATAACGCTCTGTAGGCGACTCGGGCCCGTTTTTTAATCCCGGACTTCCTGGACTTGGGATAAGCAGGGCTCGCGCGGAATAGCGCCAGCCAGATAGCATATTGTTGTTGTTTTCCTCAACTCTCTACGCCTGATCCATCGTCTGACGAGTCGGAAAACTCTGCTGCCCACTTAGCAGCTGCGCCGCGGCGTAGCCGAACGCAGCTAAGCCACGCCAGCCGCCTGAATAAAACAAGGCTGGCACTCCCCCATGGCGCAGGGCGTCATTGGCCCAACCGCGGCGGAAGCAGCGGGTGCCCCATTCTGCTCCTCTCGGGAAACCAAGTGCTAGAGCTGCAGTTTTCAATGCTGCTAAAGCCCTGTCGTACTGCAGGACTGGAAATACTGCCCCCTGGCCGCAACGTCGACGCAAGACGCAGACCCCGCACAAGTCTGGCGATGCGGACTTGCAAATGCACTGCCGCACCACATGCACAGATTTGTTTTGCATTTTCCTTCTGTGCAAAACGACGGTAACCTCAGACACATTGTCACGGACGTGGCACCGCACTTCAGAGTGGGACGGGTCGGCACTTAGTTTAAGTACTTCACAGCCATACCTCAATGTGAAATGTCTGGCCACGACCCAACTGTCTGCGAGCTCCGCGTCTTGCAACACGCCCCGGGCGTAGCCCGCGAGTTCGCGGGTCTGCCTCGCAGACGCAGTGGCCTTGAAGCGCGGCGCAGAAGTGCAGCTCTTCTGGGCGCCTTTGACTAGCATACTCGTGTCAGCCAGCGACCCCAAAGGCGCCTGTATAAGCCTGAGCGTGGACCGCAAATGGGAACAGTACCGGGAGAGCGTGGACGCCCGTGGGACTGCAAATACAAGCGCTGCGAGCACCACCTGATCAGGCGGCCACTCTGGTACGCCAAATGCCGCTGCCAGCTTGCCCCACAATCGCACAGCTGATGCGTGGCCTTGTCCACTCTTTCGCCAGTTTTCCATTTCCTGGAGCAGCAAGCGGCCGCGGAGCACATCATCGCGACGCTCCGCCGGAATTTGCACCAGCCACCGCGCTCTCGCCGACGGCAGAGGTGAGGCCGCGGCGCCGTCATGTAGTCCCGGAGCTGGCGCTCTGCATATGACAGAAATTGATTGCGCCAGGACATCAGCGGCAGGCGCACATCTCTGAGCTCTGGCTTGCACCAAAACTTCCATTGCTGCAGAAAACTCGTCGGCCGCCGCCCTGGCAGCCGGCCTCCCGGGAGGCAGTTCTTGCTCGCAAAAGCGTTCTGGCTTGTGTCTTTTCAGCTTAGGCACGACGGCGCTTGAGCCGCGCGCGCCCGTCTGCCACGACACGGAACGCAGGAAGTCATCGGACAGCGTTCTGAGAGGCGGCCACACTTCTCGCAACTCTGCTGCTGAGAGGCCTTGGAGGTCGCCGCCATGAACAGCACCAGAATCGGCCAGCGCCTGCAAGACTGCGCCAGGCGATGCCGGATGGCACGAAGCTGGCGTCCGGGCCAGCACACTCTGGAACCATGCCCTCAGCTCTGTTGGCACAGGAGTCTGCCGCGGCACCTGCGCGCCCCGGGCGGCCTCCAGATGGCGCCGCCGGGAAGCATCGATAAATTGGAAGGCCATCAAGAAACGCTTGTGCCCAACCGGCTACGGAATGAGGGCGCAGGCTGCGACAGGCAGGCGGCCGCGAAGCCAGAAGAGGAGGCCGCGACGGTCAACTGTTGCGTGCAAATTTTTCCCTCCTGCGCTCGCGTCTGTCCTCGCCAGAGCTCGTCCCAAACGCTTGCTTCCGGCCAGCGCCAGCGCGCCTCCTCGAACCCTTGCTCGAGCAGAGTTCGCAGTTTGTCTGGCTCTTCATGGGCTCTGGACGGGGCGTCTGCAAGGTTCTGAGCAGACGGCACACGGAAGGGGCACAAGACGTCGCCCCTGTCTGCTGCCGCGAACCAAATGGACGCCACTAAAGCATTCCAATCGATCTGCCTGGACGTCCCTCTGAGCAATGCCCCTAGCGCTGGGTAGGAATCCACGAATAACAAAATCTCCAACCCTGGCTCCAGAAAGGTGTACGCGTGCCAAAGGCCACACACCGCAGCACTGAGCTCCCACGTGCCGATTTGCTGCCGGCGCGGCTTCACTCTGTCGCGAAGCCATCGCGGGACCCACGCTCGGGCGAACTGCTTTTGGTTGCCCTGCGCGAGAACCCACGCGAGTGCTCCGCACCCCGCTGCGTCGGTATAAATGACCAACCGGGGCCGCGCAGCTGGCAGGTAGGGCATCTCGCGGCGAGGCTTGGATTGCAAAAGCGAAGCCACCAGTGGAGAGCCCGGCGCAGGCGCAGAGAGAGTTTGGAGAGACGACGGGCCGAGTTGAAGAACAGAGCTGCAAGATACACTCTTGCGCTCCTGCCAAACACCATCGTTGCTCCCCAACTCAGTTTCCCTGCTAGCTTCCGGGCCAACGCCGGCGACAGCATGCCCAATTCGAGAATCTTATCGATCTCAGCAATCCACTTCACGCGCTTTTCCTCGGGAATGCTAAAGTTTTTTTTGCGGGCGCTGCAGGGCTGCCACAAGCCACGGGCGCCAGGGCGTTCCGCCCCTGCAGAGCAGCCTCCCTCAGGGCTGTTGCGGCGCTGCCACGGGCCACTGGCGCCAGGGCCTTCCGCCCTGCAGAGCAGCCCCCCTCAGGGCTGTTGCGGCGCTGCCACGGGCCACGCGCGCCAGGGCGTTCCACCCTGCAGAGCAGCCTCCCTCGGGGCTGTTGCGGCGCTGTCACCGAAGCTCACCGCGGGAAGGCAATGGCGACGGGGAGCGGCGGCGAAGTGGCAACGAGGAGCACCAGCAGAGAGTCACGAATTCGCTGCCAGGAGCCACTGCGCACGCCACCAGCGCCAAGCCAACCAACCGACCAACCGAGGGAGGAAGCGCAAGAGGAGCCACCTGCCGCGAAGCAGCCCTGGGCGAGTGAGACCAACAGCATAGAAGCCAAGATGCATGAAGGCAGAGAGGCGCACTCATGTGCGCCCTGAAGATTTTCCTGCCCCCCAAATCGCCACGCGATTTGGGGGCTATGACAAAAAGCTCCCGGGCATCATCCAGGGCAACCTGGATGCCGAGAATTACGGCTACAGAAGCGCCGGTGACAACTTTCGCGTCGTCCAGCTGCCAACCCAACAATTCTTGCACGACTTCGCGCGCAAGAAATGCAGCACCACTCGGCCCTGCGAGGGCAGTATCTCCCGGCGTCGCGCGGTCGACGCCGAAGAAGTCATCGACAAAACGCGGGTGTAAAATGCGGAACAGCTCTACAAGCACGTGTTGGAGCGCAGCACCGACGCGGCGCCATGCACGCACGCTTGCAACAGCCCCAAACGGGCAAGAAAAGAGCTGCAACGCGAAGCCTGTTTGCGCCGTGTCCTCTGTAACGGCCACAGCGCAAGGCAGGTCATCCGCGCAAATCGGCAAAGTCTTGTATGCGCCTACAACGTCATCCTTGCGGAGACGAAGTGTTGCTGGGCCTCTATCTGGCCCACTTGCTTCCCAGATGCCTTGGCCAATTGCTACTAGTGCGTCGAGGTGCTCGTGACGCACCCGCTTCTCGACTTGCGCGGCTTCGTTCACATTGGAAGCGTGAAAATCATCAATGGCGCGGACAGCGCGCACAAAAGATGAACCTTTTAAACTTCCACCCCTCGTCCACTCCGAAACGTGGAGAACACGCCGCCTCGCTGAGTGTCGCCGACAACGGCGTCCATCTAGCTTTACCTGCTACCACCTCGGCTGCCGTCTGCGCCCGCAGTGCTGCTGCCGCTTCTTCATCCGACAGGGTAGAAGAAGCCGCCCTCAAAATCAGCGCTGCATTGTTGGCAGGGGCGCGTCGCCAGAGTTCCTCTAACGACAAGGGCGGAACAGGTGAGCATGCGGGGAGCGCGCCGCTCGGGGGGATCTCCCCAACGAGCTTGAAACCACGCCTTAAATTTTTAACTAATTGAGCGTCTGGGCTATTAGATGCCTCCAGCATCTCTGCCAGCAAACGCAAGTTTTTGTCCGGACCTAGAACGGCTTGCACGTGTGCTGGGAGTGTTCTAAACTCCCGCTGCCATTCAAAATCTGTCACTCGCTTGCGTTCGCGCCAGAAAGCTAAGGCAGACGCCCAGAAGCTGTGTGAAGAGCTCCTGTCCCCACTTTCATGAAGAACTGAGCTGTGCGCGCCGGCAGGTACACGGAAGACGCCCAAGCAAGGAGGCAGGGCAAACGCCCACTTGAAATGGCTCACTGGCGACACGTTAGCAAGTCTATGTACATCTTGCAACAAGCTGTTCACTTCAGCTTGTAATTCATGCAGATCCGTGGCAAAACCGACGGACCCGTCGAGACCATCTTCGCAAGTCTCTTGCGCGAGGGGAGGAGCCGCTGGATGATCCCCAGACGCATCGCTGGCGCTCTGCGAACCAGCTCACCACTTCTTGTCGCCCTTCTTGGTGTTGTCCCACTTCTTGGCATACCAGTCAGCGTTCCCCTTGGGGCTGCGCGAACGCACAGGAGAGTGGACCTGGCGCCCCTTGGGGCGCCGGGCGGGCAGCATGCCTCCCTTGGGGTGCCCCTTGCCGCCTCCCTTGCTGGAAGCGGGTGCCGGCTGCGACGGCTGGGAGCCAGAGGCCTGGCCCGTCTTCGCGGCCGCCTTCGCGGTCTCTTTCACGCGCTTTTCAGCGCTGTTCTTCGCGTCCGCCAGCACGCCCTGGTCCAGAGTGCACAGGAGCGTCTCTATCTGCGACCGCTCGTCCCTTTCAAGCTCCCGGGCGAGCTTCTGTCTGAGCAAGAGATCGTAGTGTGTGCACACCCTGAAGCCGCCGCGTTATTCTGCCACCTGGGTGAGTACGATCTGGTACGCGAGCAACTGCGTGGAGGTGATGGCCTTCGCGAGGACCATCTTCACGCCCCAGTCCAGGATATGTCCATAGAACGTAGCGAATCCCACAAAAGTGGTCCTGTCCTCCAAGCTCCTCGTTTTCTTCGCCTCTACCGCGCTGCGCAGCTTCTCCTCGAAGCTGCCGTCGCCGACGGTCACGTCGATCTTGGGTGTGCGCGACCAGGGCGGGCGAAAGGAGACTTGGAGGTCCTCTCCCTCTGCCGACCCAATATAAAGGCGGCCCTGGTCCCGTGCGACCTCGCTGGCTTTCTCCAACCGAATCATAGCCTCCTCCGAGGGCATCATATCTTTAGGGAGACTCCCGAGACCGAGCTCGTCCAGGCGCTGTTTCAAGTTGAAAGACAAGTATTCCTTCTTGGGCTGGTCTCGCTCTTGCGTTGCCTTTGCAAGCGCCTCGATGGCCTTCGCCAGGTGCTCTGGCGAGGTCCCGGTGCCAGGCTCAACGCTGCCAGCTGGGCCGTTGCTCTGAGACCCTGCTGCCCGAGCTTGCACTTTAAGAGCAGCCGTGATGTGCGCAGGGGTGAGTCGCACATCTTTCCACTCCGATCCCTCAGGGTCGTCTTGGAACGGCGGGGTGTTTGCGCGGATGCCTTCGATGATGAAAGTGCGCATCTGCGGGTCCGCGAAGTCCGACGGCGCTGCTGAGCCCATCTGTTCGGACATCACTCGGGCGACACTGGCATAAAACACCTCGTCGTGGCTGATTGGCTCGTTTGCGTCCGCAACGAAGTGGAGCCATTCTTCGATGGCACTGCTCGACAACTTCAGCCACTAGCCTTCTGGAACCTCAGCGATGAAAGACTGCACCTTTCCTGACTCAAAAGAGGCACGACGCGGCGACCCCGAGTGCTACAGCAGGTGGTGGGCGAGAGCGTGGACGCAAAGAGCAATCAATCACGCTGAGACCAGACGACTCCGGAAGAGCCAATGCATGGACATGCGCATGTTTCTCTCCTTGCACGAGGGGCACTTCAACCTCGCACGCCGCAGGTAAAACCTGAAGGCTCTCTCCCGGCGAAGCAAAGAGAGAGCTGGCCACAGACATGCCACGAGCAACCATACGTCTGATTATGTAACCATGCTCGCAGGCATCCCCGTCCAAAGATGCTTTCAACCAAGATGTCCCTTCGCAAAAGCAGTTCTGACTCCGCCTGCGGCTGACCAGGTACGAATGATGATGGGAGGAGAGAACGCTTGGGACTCCTCACCCTCAGGCAGCACTTGATAGTGCCACTTGTGCACTTCCCTCGGCCAGACCTCTACGTGGATAGGCGTCCTAGGCGCCTGAGGTCGGGCAACGAATCCTGTAACATGATGTTGATGTGTTTTGATTTTGAGTTTGAGTTTAATGTTGATTTGAGTCCAGCGTTGAGTCACATTAATGCGTTGATCGATGATTATGCTTCATCTTATCGTGCTTCATGTTCCCGGTTGATTCTCGTGTTCATGTTTTGTGTTGCTTGTGGAGTGCGGAACCCATGGATTCGGCTAACCCACGCTCCATTGAGAGCGCCCCCTCTGCGTTTTCTTCGGAGGGAGTATCCGGGCGTTCGGGTCTTGCGTTCGGTGTGCGTTTGGCGGGTGCTTCCCCGGCGTTCAGGGACTTGCCCGGGGGCGGGAATCCACAACCCCCCTCTGATCAACAGGTGGGCGGGGCGGTTGGGTCCTCGGACCTCCCCGCTAACCGATCTAGGGGGTGTTTCCGTTGACGTAACTGGCCCCCACGCACCGGTTGCGGGCGCACGTGCTATTAGCCACTTCTGGTGTTCTGGGTCACAGGGCCCACAGCCAGCTACCCTTCCCTCCAAGAGAGATCGTCAGCCAAGATACGAGCGGAGACGGAGTGCTAGGAGGGCCCGATCTATGCTTAAGCGTAAACGTAAACGAGGTTTGGCCCTGCATCGTCTATCCATGATCCAGCGTTTTAATAAGAAGAGAACAGATGTGTATAATATAACGGGTGGTACTTGGAATACACGCAAGATGGGTGCCACAGCCGGCGTGGGAGATGCAGCCATGAAGGTCGATTGCATTTTGACATTATGCTCTCGTCGCAATTGGGACTTCGCTTTGCTTACAGATCTCTCGTTTGATTGCAATGGCGCGAGGGAATACACGCATGAAGGACGGATGTGGACGTTGATCATTAGGGGGAAGGTGGGAATCTTGTTGGGTGGGAGATTGACGAATATTTGGAGGGAGGGAGGCGCGCGCGTTGTTGCGCGGGGAGGGCAGGAGAGGAAGTGGATTCGGGGGTAATTGAACCTGCAGCAAAAGGCCTCGCTAAGGCAAAGGCCAAGGCTCAGGCGAGGGCAAAGCCCCACGTCAAGGCCAAAGCAAAAGCAAAGGCAAAGGCAAAGGCACAGCTTAGAGGTCTCTCTGCTAAGGCAAAAGCAAAGATGCGAGCCTAAGCCACACATACCCAGCTCAGACCAAAAAAAATGGTTCAAGGTGAGTTTTTCTACATGAGCTGCCGGGGGAGGGGTTTGTGCAGTTTTCGATTGGGCCAAAGGACAGGGGACCTTCGTGTCCAAGTCCTCAGCGAATGGCACGGTGTTTCTACGCCGTGCCGGGGGGGAGGCTCAACAAGCACGACTTTCCAGTCGTTGCTAGCGCCGCCGTTGACTTTCTAGTCCTCGGCACCCCCTTAAGCCTCCTCCCCGTCCCCCAGTCGCCCAGACGGGGACCTTGGTGGTAATTAAAAATACTGGATACCCGGCAGTTCTTTACATCACCTCACTCACCCATTGTTGATTTTTCTTGCCTTCATATCATCACACCATTGTCATATTTGAGACGTCCTCACTGCATGATGGGTGCAGCAGTAATGTTGCGAGCAGTCGACGTGAGACGGGGCGGGAGTGGGACGGGAGGACAGGTATTTTGAGTCCACTGTCTTGTGCTATTGTCTCTCTTGTTGCATGCTTCATGCGTCCTTACGCCTCCCCCCCTCCACCTCCACGCCGCGCGCGCGCCGATTCAGCCCGCGACTCGCCCCGCACCCCCGCCCGCGCGCCCGCCTGACCCGCTCGCCGGCGTGGTAATGGCGTTGGCAAAGCGCCGTGCCGAGCAGGAGGCCCGGTTCGGAGCGCTGGAGGAGCGCCAGGACTTTCTTGAAAGGGTTGTGCGCGGCCTCAAGAGGAAGATGAACGAGGTCACCAAGAGCTGCCACCTGGCGTGCGAAGGGTGCCACGGTCTCGGCGCTGAACGAGCAGCATGCGCCTGCGAACCAGTTCCGCGCGCTGCGCGAGGTGGCGCCGGAGACTTTGGTCAGGGACCTCGCGGCCAAGCTCGAGGAAGAGTGGCCCCTCCAGGGAGACACGGCGAAGGTGTCTGCCCTCCGGAAGCTCTTGGAAGGCCTCAGCGAGCCCGGGACGCTCCGCGGTGTGTACCAGCAGGTGCGCACCGAGCAGGGGAGCAAGGTGCCCGTTCCGGGCACCTTCTACCTTGTGCTGCGCTTCTCGATCGACTCCTTGGCGGTCGAGAGGAGCGTGCAGCGCCTCGACGCTCCTCTTCGGAGGGCGTCTGGCCTTGCGGTACGCGAGGTGCAGCCACCTCCTTTGCCGGCGGGCCAGGACCCGCCGGCGAAGGTGCTGCTCTGGGTCGAGAAAACTCCTGAGGAGGAGGAGGCGGCGGAGGCCCGGAGGCAGGCCAAGGGCCGCGGCAAGGGCAACAAGGGCCGCGGCAAGGGCGGCAAGGGGGGCGGCAAGGGCTCGGGCAGCAAGGGGGACAAGAGCGGCGGCAAGGGCGGCCGCAAGGGAGGCAAGGGCGGCCGCAAGGGCGGCAGGGACGGCGGCGCGGACGGGAACGGCGCGCCGCCTGCGCCGCCCCCGGCACCGCAGGCCAAAGCGGAGCCACCGGCACCGGCCCCGCAGGCCAAAGCGGAGCCAGCTGCACCGGGAGCGGCTGCTCCTTCTGGGGCGGCCGCTTCGGCGGGGCCCTCTAGGCCGCCACTGGCGGCGCCCGCGCCCTACGTGGCGGAGGTGGCGGGCGGGGCCGGCCCTCTGGCGCCGGCAGCCCCCGGGGCCTGCGCCGCCCCCAGGGCCCGCGAGCAGGCCCTTCAGCCGCACCGGTATAAGGGGGCGTCATGGCACCCCCGGCGGCGCAACCACGCGATGAGATCGTTTGACTACACTTTGTAGGAGAGTTTTGTTTCGTCTATCCTTCTCCCTCGCCCTTCCCCCCTCCATCGCTGCGGTCAAGTTAGCATTGTTTGAGACTTCCTGGAGAGAGCTCTTTTATTTGTCGTTCTTTGAAGAATTCTGAAGGAGACGTCGGGAATTAGGTGCCGGCCTGCGCGTGAGACGTACCTCGATATTTTGCTGTCTCGTGTGTTGTGCGGGCGTGTGCGGGCAGGCCTGCTCCGATCCCAGGAATCTGATGTGTGTCTCTCGTCCCCCACCAGGTGCACGGCTGACCGACAACGCCCGAGGGACGGCGGACTCGCCGTTCCGGCGTCTGAGAGGAGTACGCATTGATCACCCTCCCCCTCCCTGCCCCTCCCCCCGCACCCCCCTCTATTCAGGCACTCAGGTCGAGTAGTGGGGCCGTGTCGCGTAGCGGGGGCCAGGTCGAGTAGAGGGGGCCGTGTCGAGTAGAGGGTTTTCATATTGTGCATGTGTTCATTGATGTTACTGATTAAATGTGCAGGTTCTCCCCTCCCCCTCCTCTCCACTCCCCCCTCACTTCTTGATCGGGCCTTCCCCCCCCTTGTCTCCAGCCCGTTTAAATTATGCCCTCCAGGCATGGATGGAAGGGCAGCCCGCCCGCCCGGATGGGCGACTTGGCGGAGGGCGAGGACGAGGACGAGGACGAGGACTTCCCTCGACCAAGCTCTGAACCCGCGGTCGAGCGCACGCTTTCTGACCAGCCCTGAGGATCGCACACGCGCCTCCTCCCGCTATTGTCGTCTCGTCGCCGACGCCAGCGCTGCCCCCGTCGCCGCTGTCAGAGGAGGAGGGAAAGGCACTGGATGGTGGAATGGTAGAGCGCCCTCCTTTTGGGCGATATTGTCTTGTTGATCTGCGCAGGGGCTTGCGCGCATCCCACGCTAACTCCTGCACTCGCAGTTGTAGTCCATTCTTTGGACGACTTGCGAAGGGGCTTGCGCACATCCCTCGCTAATGCGCCGCAGCTGCAAACAGGCTGCGCGCAGAGCAATCCTCCCAGCTATCATCGCGCTGGCTACCGAATTGAGAAACTCGACCTCGATGAAGTCCAGCTGGAACTCACACCCCTTTTGAGCCACCAGGGCCAGAATTCCACGAGACGAACCAGCATTTAATTCTGAGCTCGCACGTGAAAGGGGCGCGGCATGGACAGTAGGGCACGGGTGCCCCGGAGCAGCAGGGCGCCGGTGGGAGCGGGGTCTGACCGGACAAGAGTCCCGACAGGGGGCCCCGTCCCTTTTGTGCGCAGATGGAGCGGCTAGACCATACGCCGTCCATTAAGCTAATGTCAGCGCCCGCACACATTTGGCACCCCGGGACTTCCCTGTTAGTGGGTACTGTCCCTTTCCCCCCCGTGAGTCCGACTACGTCGGCTGGGCACCCCGCGGGGAGCGCCGGGCCAGCAAACTCTTTTGACGAAGTCCGAGAAGAATGCTGGCCCGG